AATAATATTTTAATATTTAATAGGAACTTTTGTGATTAGACTGACAAATTTAAACAAATATATATTTATCACAAAATGACGCAACTTTATCATCTCGTGAAAACTAGCCTATCACAACACTACGTTCATTAAGCAAAAAGTGAAAGAAGGAGTTTACAGTACTTGTTTTGCAAGAAAATTGAATGAAAGAGAAAAGTATTCAAGTCATGCATAATGAATGCATTATGGTTTATTTAGCTGTTGTCATGAAGTTGTGTTACGTCATAAGCTACAGGTGACTTTCACCTTACTTCCCACGTGACTTTCACCCTTACATTAATGCGATAATGACTATCGACATATACGCTTGAATGAATGGAAAACGTTAATGAAGTAAAATATATTCACACGCATTAATTTAAAAGAGGCACTACATAATTAGCATTATATTTATATAAATATTTTATATTGTCTGTGTTTTATTAATTTAAATTTTCATAAAATGTTTAAGTTGTTATTCGTATGGGCTTACGATGTATTTCTCCTAGTCTCTTATACTTATTTTTAAGCACTTTAAGATAAGCACAAAAATCTCCATTAAACAGTGAACTCTTTTGCTTCAATTCAGCTGCTGTTAGCTAAAATAAGAGAAATTAAGTCTTTGTCGAACTCTACAGGCAATCAGAACTGTTTGTGAATTTCCAACATTACAAATTAAGCCTTGCCATAGAACTATACACATAAAAGTTGGTGTCTTAAGTATAAGATTACTCCTGTAAGTGGATAATATCTATTAATTTCTAAAGCAGGAGTATCAGTAAGAGTCCTATTGTGACAATGCCAGTTTATATTTTCCGATTTTGAATATCATATTACACAAAGTGTTCATTTGTACTATTACTTTCTTCTCATTCTAAACTAATTTAAATCATACACGAAAGAACTTCCAAACACAATGGGCCAAAGAGTCTAAGTTATGTATGAACGTGTAAAAGACATTCACTGTTCATTTGTTTTGTAATGCTACCGTTATTAATTTATCATTAATTTAATTATTTGTGTTTTATTTTGTTTGTAGTTTTCTAATTTTTTACGGAATGAAATTTGCATTTCCCGAATATTATTGTTCTACTTAGTAGCCAAGACAAAATCCTGGCATTTGTGGCGCTGATAGCAAACGAGTAAATTTTGTATTGGTGTCCCACGAAAACAAGAATATTCCGAGGTAGCTTTCCACTAATTCAACAGCTTATAGCAAATAATAAATAATAAATAGACTTATAAGCACATTAATGACTTCTAACAGTAACCCACATGCATACCTTCACGGCTGAGACAAAGGTGCGTTAATCTTTTGATGTCAAAAAATGTTGAACGAATTTTTTTCAAGTCTGTTCGTAAATATCGCCATATAATGTGCATGACTGTCCCGTGTTCGACGACATTTCTATAGGCAGTGACGATATTTGATTTTATTTGGTCTATCAAGATTAACTCTCAAAAACACAGAAGAGAGCGTTCATGTTTTTATATATATATACAATAGTTGTTAATGAAAGTTTATTGGCACGACAGAAAAAACATGCAACACTATGTCATATTGTTTTATTTAACCCAAACAGCTACAATTAATCAATTCAAACATTGAAAATAATCATAAATTTTTTTGTAGATATACTATGCGTGCGATCAACAGTAAATCACGTGAAATTCTCCACAGACCTAAAGTATGCAACTGGGTTATCCTAATATTAGAAGTCAGAGTTTATTATTTCAATATCACATATTACATATACCTGCACGTAAAAATGTTCAAAAACTAACTGTTTCACTTCTCATATATGAGATACAAAGTGTATATTTTCACTGATAAGCTATAACACACAATTATCGCCTGTATATGTAACGATATTTCTTAATATAGTTTTAGTGTAGACAGATTTACGACAATTCATGTAAAGTTAACACGTCAAATTAATATAGATTTTATTACGAGGTGCAGTTAAAAAATAAGTTTGGCTTTATCATAAAAATGCATAACTGAGAACATAGCACAGATTAATTATTTAAATTTGCCACCAGTTTACTCAAATTCAGAACTGTTTTAGAGACATATTTAGGGGATTTTTCTCCACTCTCAAATCGCTGTGCCGAGCGCAGTCATTTATTAAATGGCAGCGAATTCCCGGAAGAGAATAATTCATTTTTTGGAACAGTCAGAAGTCAGGTAGTGACTAAATTAGATGATTGTGACTAATGAGGAAATTTAAAACTCAATTTTCAGTAATGAACATACTTCATGAAATAGTCACAAGATTTTCACACTGACTGAGAGTT